ATACTTTGATTCAGACTAAATGATGATATCCAGAGTGACTCAAGATCATCCTCTATTGATGTTTCTTTATGAAAACCCGTGCAGAATTTTTTGTAAAAAAAGATGTGAAAAGTCAAAAGTTCTAGATGTTAGTATTATGTTGCTTAGGCATACTAACAATGTTGACCTTATAGAGAGAGGCCAAATGAAAGGAGAGAACAGCTAGAAAGAAGAGAAGGAGGGAGAGAGAGAGAGAGAGAGAGAGAGAGAGAGAGAGAGAAATAATGAAGAAGGGGGAAAAAGAGAATCATTGAGAGAGGGCAGTAGTTGGAAGTAATAAATTGTAGTTTGGAGAGATAAAAAAAGAGAACATTTATTTCATTATTGACTTGGCCCTTCAACTGTTCTCAGAATAGGATTACAAATACATTTTGATAAATTTTTGGTGTAGGCCTACACGTACATGTCTTTAAAGGTGATACAAAGCTGATAAAGGCATATAGAAAAAAACAAGGTGGTTGTTCCCATCTTGTTTCAGGTGTTTGAATCCAAACTTCATTGTAGGCTAATTAATGGATTGTGTCATGTATGATTCACTTTCCTTCAATCTCTATATCTCATATTCCTAAAATAAGACTGTGTAACGCAAAGTCACCAATACATATGTTTGTAATATTGTGATAGTAATCTTTCACTCCTAAGGGAGGATATTCTAGGTAGAAATATCTGATTTTAAGCAGCTTTTGATGATACAAGATTTGAGAAGTCACAATTTGGTGCTATTCCTGTACTTTGACAGTGTTTTGGAATTCAGAGGAGAGGATAATTTTCTTGAATGTCTTTATTCATAGACAAGCAATAATGAAGGCATTCCATTTTGTTGAGACTTTGTAATGAAGAAAATGAGGAGAATTGAAGAAAGAAGATTCACAATATTTCTGATTCAAATGACCTGATTATTCTAACTTCATGTCCCTTTCCCCAAAACATGCACTTCCCCTTCCCCCTATTTCTGTGAAATAAAATAATGCATCCCTTCCTACATAAGAAGCTACAACGAATAAAGATTATCTGAAACATTGAAGAGTTCAGTTTAACTCTGGTAGGATGAGGGTCTCAGACATCTATGAGACAGGATGACGAGACACTGACGGGAAATTGAAAGAAATTGGAACATTTAGAGCAAGAAATATGAGAAGCCATTAAAGCTTCAGAAAGCAGTTGTCATATGTTGGGGTCTATTGTGTCACAGATTTAGAGAAGATATGGTTTCCTTAAAGGGATCGTTTAACAATGTTAAATCTGAGATTCACGGCCCTACGTGTTTTCAGTGTCTGTGATATGGTGTAATATTGAAGCCCTAAAAAAATTGCGCTTCAAAATGATCAAGAAGTGCCTCAAAAAAGTAAAAATCTTTGAGTGACCGGTTTTACCATACTCGTTTTCCCCAATAGACTGTAGTGTTATGAAAACCGTCAGGCGATCGGTTTTCAAAATTTGTAATTCCAATCATAAATATCTTGATAAACAGACAGGCGATCGGCTTGTAAAAGTCATGGGGTTCCTGACTGACCTAAAGGTTTATAATTATCATTGCATCATGAGCTAAATCCAGAATTTTGTTTCAGAATCTGAGACAAAGTTACCGGATCCCTTTAAGAAAGAATGAATTGAAAAAAATTAGTGCATTTTTCTTGCTCTAAAGAAACACGTTTCCAATGTCTGCTCTGGAAATAAATTATGAGTTCTATTGATAGATAAGTGTACCAATCACCTAAATATTATAATTTATGTACAGCTAGAATGTATGATATTACCTGTAAAAAAAGTTCACAAGGCTTTTTATTTACTAGTGGATGAGGAATATGAAGAAGGTAGTCTCCCCACAAGTCATGAGTTGTTATAAAGTGAGGGTGTTTTTAAACTTGCAATATCTCTTTACAGAAGTAAGCTCATCTTTTGAGTACAGTAATAGGACATGGAACCACAAACATACAAAACTATTTGATGATTTTGTGATCGGTACACTTTAACACATTCTATGTATAGAATAGAAAGTCCACCTTGGCCTGTACTTCTTCATGACACATACATGACTGATCAGTCAACCCAGATGGGATTGTCTTCATATTTCAATAACTTTCCAAGAGATTTTAAACCACCCTCCAGTCAGCTCTAAAAATAAAAATCAGCAGTTGTCTTTTTTAAAGTACATGTAGGATCCATATTATTCCTTAGCATTTTAATATTGGGTCATTCCATGGGGTTGAGGCAATTTTGTGACACACCAGAATTGAGAAACCATGTCTCCTAATTATTATCCATAACCATGTTTCTGAAATTGAGTTTAGCAAAAATAGCACAGCCAACTATATTTAGAAGAACTCTAGCTTCATGGTAAATCAATATTATAGACCCAAAGTTATATGAATGTGATGTCCATGTAAAGCTGGTAACAAAAAGACAAACATTTTGAAGAGGAGCAACTTGAATAGAAATGATTCTTCCAGGGCACTTCTATATTCATTGCATACAAATCTTCAACAGATGATTTCATCTTCCATGTGTAGTAGAAGATCTCATACCAACGTTCAATGGACATTGTCATATTTTATGCCCAAACCTCATGAAAGTCAGGACCCTCCCCCCCCCCCCCCCCCCCCCCCCCCCAAAAAAAAAAAAAAATCTTAATTTTTTACATAGGGCTCATCTTTACAGACTCTAAAAAATTAGATCTGGGAGCCATTTCACAAAGCCTTTTTTCAATGACAAATAACAAAAATTAGTGACAAATCTGCTGATAACCAATCGAAGCAAGGATTTCAGTAGCTTATAACACAAACTGTCATTTGTCACTGATGACAAGTTTTGTGAAACGCCCCCCCTAGACCACCTTCCAAAAAGATTAGTGTGGAGCCGTAGCAAAGGTATGAGGAAATAATCAAAATGGCCAGAATGTACAACTGAATTAGAGTTTATACATATCCTTGCCAAGTTTAGTATTTTTCCCAATTTATGTTTCTTGAGAATGTGACATATTCAAGTTTACAGGTACATCTACAAATATTCTCCAAAGGCCCTAATTCGACCAGTCCACCTTTCATTCTTGAGCTACAAAAAACACAAAAATCATCAAATTTACAAGGGTATGAATAATTTAGTTGTATACTTGGTTGATTAGCCCTCTTGTCCTATGGGAAGGGCTCTCTACAGTTGTTAACTGTACGCTGAATATCATGATGAAACGATTGGGAGTAGGATGATGATCACTTAGAGCCAAACCCTGTGACGTGTCAAAGCTTTGAGCCACAGCCAAGTCTTCAACATTTAAACTGTCAACATAAACTACTGTAGCTGCTAAATTTCATTAAGTTCATGGCCCGCAAGTGTACTTTACAAAAACCCTCTCTCTCAACAAAAATGGTGGTGTTTCTGGTAAAGGGCATATTTATTCAGCCATAAATCAAACACATGCCCTACTTCCTATCTTCCTACACCAACCATGGGGGTAGTAGCAGTTCCACATTCAAGGTGAACTCCCTTGTTAGGCCTAAACAAAAAGATGTTGTATTGCCTTTTGCGACCAACCCCAAAATCTTGAAATCTACGGTCGGCTTATTTTATTTTATCGTTTTTTTAGAAAAAAACGTTGTAAAGCATTTAAAACTGAGAAATATCACTTAAAAGAGGGAGGGGGGGGGGGGGAAGAAAAAAAGGAAAAAAAGATTTCTGACCGACCGACACATGTCTTGGCACCTAAAGGGCAATACAACATCTTTCTTTTTTTAGGCCTTATGGATGGTCCTAGCTATTTTGAAATTGAAATGGGGGATACATGAAACCTCTATTGGTTTTTCAGAAGAGAATTGGATGGTTTATGGCCCTAAAACCTGTATGTCACGTTTTACTGCATGATACAAAGCACTTGTCAGAGAGTATATGGAACAGCTCCCAAAATAGATTTAATCACATTTCTCTAATTTAAACAATTTGTTTTCTTTGAAAACATAGGTTATTGCTCACTGGTAGAAATGTGATAGCAAGGGAATACATTGAGCTACTTTGTATGCCCCACTTAAATCCTTTGCTCCTTTGCAAGGCTTGCTATATCTTGTGGAGGAGGATGCTGTAAAACTTGGATTGATGCTGCCTTACAGCCCAAAATACTGTCTATTACCTTAGAGATTTGCTTTATATCCAGGGTTTTGAGTCTGATTTGTAGAGCAGAGTGAGAAAGGTCTTGTCTGAGCGTCCAGGAAATGTCCACCACACCTGACTTGAGATCTCACTCTGATTGCTCCCTCATGATGATGATGGTTCTCATGTTTACTACAAACAAGTGTGGAGTCAAACGGTGGTAGCTGGTGTCTTGGCATTGTGCCAAGTCTGTAGGGGTGCAGTGAGAGATATCAGGGCTAGACTTTAAATTTTTCTCTCTTTAGTTTATATCTTTCTCTGTGAGAGAAGAATGCTGAATGGTTGGAATAAGTTGAACCAATTTAAGCTCCTTGATAAAAGTACTAATTGACTTATATACATCCTGCATGAGATGAATTCTGTCAGATGTATCTGATAACTGATTTACATGCTAGAGAATAATTTTGTTCAGATTAAAAAGTACCAATCTTTGATAACTGTGCTAAAAATAGTTAACCCTTTCGTTATTCTTTACTCATGAACAAAATTTGATCTTCATCATGATCATCTGGAGGGAGATGGAGGTGTTAGCATGTAGTAGCATTCTCGGTCTTTTCATCTGTGAAAGTTGATTTGCAATTTCTGATATTTTCAAGTATCATACAGAACTGTGCACAAGTGTCTTGTGTTTGAGTCTAAAATGTGTGAAAAAAGTGTTGTGCAAAAGTCTTGCAAAGCTTGAACATACCAGAGTACTTTCTCCCCTGCCCTAGTGAAAATGAATGCACTCTTGTCAGTTTTTACCTCACGTTATTATGCATAAATGGATCAGTAAATATGATTTTATTCTTCTTTTCCTTTTTACATTTTCTTTCTCACTGCAGGATGTCTCAGGATGTACTGAAGTATCTCTAGATAAGAAGAACTATGGAGTTCCTGATTTCATGGCTGAAGGGTAAAGAAATGTTCTTTATGTTCTTTAATCGTATAGAATGAATGATGCACATGTATCTACATGTAGTCTATGGGACTGACAAAATTTGGTCTTAAACCGGCTTGAATATCTCTATAGTTTGTTGAGGCGATTTTAAGTCTTAATGAGATTAGCAAGAACAAAAAAAGTAAAAGTAACATTATTTTGGTAACTAACCCCTTTAAGAGGAAAATGGAGAGGGATTTTAGCATACTTTGGCTCCTCGGTCTAGAACTACAATGTATGAAGTAATGACGAATTGTACAAGTACACCTTCTGACAAATCTCTTATTTTCCTTCCGCTTTGTGAACAATTCAGAACCGACATGCTTGACTCATAAAAAGTGATACTGTGCGGTGCCTCTCCTTCTTTATTGCCTCCCTTCTTTGGAGTTTTGAAGTTTTCTGTCGTAAAATGATTGACAGAGAAACGACAGTCAGGTGCGCTGGAAAAATTTGTGACTTATGAAGAGGAAGCATGCGATTATTGGCGTACAACGGAATACGGGAAATGGACTCAATTAGCTCATCCTTTTTCTGTATACCCCTCTCTTTCTTTCTCCTGTGTCATGTTGTATTTTCTCTTTGCTATACCCCCCCCCCCTCTCTCTCCCCCCTCTCTCTCTCTCTTTCTCCGTTTCATGTTGTATTTTCTCTTTGCAATACCCCCTCTCTCCCCCTCCCCCCCTCTCTCTCTCTCTCTCTCTTCCCCCCTGTGTCATGTTGTGTTTCTGTTTGTAAACCCCCCCCTCTCTCTCTCTCTCCTGTGTCATGTTGTATTTTCTCTTTGCAATACACCCCCTCTCTCTCTCTCTTTCTCCCCTGTGTCATTTTGTCCTGCTATATGAAGCCAACTCATCATGAATAAAACTCAGAATCAAATGGTTGATATGTGTTGACATGTAAATCCCTCAAACTGCTGTAAGAAAGCTTGGTACCATGCCAACCACAGGCAGGTATAAATGGTAGCTAATTATATTTTGTAAAAAAGTGAAAACCAATCATTTAACAAAAATTTAAGTTCATTGACAAATATCAAAGGAATATGGATGTTTATTTGATATGTAGATCACCTACCGGTAATAAATCAAAAATGTGTAACGTCTTAAAAGAACCAAGAATTTTGTTAGCCATAGCATTATTATGAATTCTCGAGGCAGTTTTGATACAATAATCCAAATATGATTTGAAGATATGTATAACCATTTTGAGCCAAGCTATGAGCAAGAGGTTTACACTTTAACCAATTACCTGTTGTTTGACATTCTGTGCCATTTTGACATATATGAATGATTGCGCTATACCGTATTGATTATATTCAATTAAATTATATAAAAATATAGGTGAAAGCAACTTGAAAAAAAGAAGAGATTCATCTAATTTCCATTTTGAGGTGAAAACCAGCAATAAATTTAGCTCGGGTGCCACGTATTCTAACCAAATTTCCGATGATAATCAAATATGCATGCATGTAGGCTTTTTGGCAATGAGTTTAAAACACAGGGAAAAACAGAAAATTAACATTTATGTATAATACGTCATATACCGGTAGATTTAATTAAGTTTCTCTTATCAGACCATAGCAGCTATCTCTACTGATAAACATATTAAATCAGAACTTTTGAAAAGTGTATATGCACAGAGCCTTGCCACTTTGATAATAACATTTGTACATATACACCCCTCAACTGAGAATTGGGACAAAAATGTCTAGAAAATAAGATGACAACAGCTTGCCATGAATTAATGACTTCATGACATATTAGGAAAAACGCTAAGATTGATGATAAGATTTGACATGATTTGCGGTATACAGATGTAGGAATGAGGTGATTTTTTTAAATCACAGAGACAATATTTCCAGGGTTCAGTGCCACAAAGACGTAACTCCCAATTTTCCCAACATGAGTATTTGATATCAAAATGTTAAGAAAAATGTGGGCTTTCCAAGAAACACAAAGACTTAACTCCACCCAACACCCATTGAAGTCAATGGCTAGTGAAACATACGTGTAGACTTAACTCCTTAAGGCCCAAGTGCTCAGTGACACATAAACCACTTTTTCTCGCAATGGCCAAAATGGAGTTACGTCTTTGTGTCACTGACCCCGCAAATTCAAGCTTCTATTTATAGTTTTAGCTTGGACTGAAAGTAGTCTTGACTGGTGATGTTGATATTTGATACACTTTGTTCACTCACCAATCTACTTTGTGTCTCGGACACAATCCTTTGCTCGTGGAGATCAACGCACAGATGATTAGCTTTTAAAAATCATCAATTAAAGAGACGGAATCAAAACTCCTTCAATTACACAAACCACAGGTGTGGTTCCCAGGCTGAAAGTGAAAGCATGAAAGACAGAAATAATTACTGCCATTTGCGTATTTCCCTTCTTTACCTAACTCACAATCTCCCCTTAGGATAGAAGCTGTACTGTATCTGTATACATTCAACCTCCCCCTGGGCTATAAGCTGTACTGCATCTATATTCATTCAAACTCCCCTTCAGGGCATTTCTTGTCTAATCAAGCTCTCTTTCTCTTTATTTTACGCTGATTATTTCTTGTGTTTTCCTTGGACTCCTTGCTGTCTCAGCCCCATACTTCCCCTGTGAGGGCGTTTCCTGTATCTTTCCTGAGCCGAGATGTTGAGTGAGAGATGCATCCACTATCCATGCACTCCAATTAAAAAGGATTTATGATTTTCATTTAAATCATTCAAAGATCAATACATTAGACAGTGCTCCTTTCTATTTTCTAACATGAGGTGTAATTTTAAGGATATTGGTGAAAACAAGAGGGTCCTGTTGTATCTCTCTATGGACCTGGCCTGTCAATGAGAATCCTTTCTTACGTAACACAGTGTGCCTGCTCCCTCTTCCTTCTTCTCCTTCCTTCTTCCTTCTTTCTTCTTCTTTCTTCTCTTTATTATACCCATGTACTACATGTAGGCCTGGGTCAAGATCTGACTAAAAAACAACAAATGGAGATGAAATAACTTTAAAGTTTTTCAATATCTTGAATGAAAGTAAAGTGAATGAACCATTGTATATGTACAATGGCACCCCTATTTATTTTTTGGGAGGAGGAGGGGGGGGGGGGGAGAAAGCTATTAACTTGTATGTGAGTGATGATATTAAATTCTGACTTTTAACTTCAATGCCAAAACTATCATCTTCTGTTGTCTCTATATGTTGCAAAAAATAAAATTGAATTAAATTCCTCAGGCTAATCATCGCTACAGGCTCCCAACGTGCCTGCAATATATTGAAGGGATTAAAAAAAAAAATTATATCACTAGTCTCTTCATTTTAGAACCCATTTTCTTGCACTTTTGAAAGTGGATTTGTCTAATGATTCCTTCCTGAAAATCCTTGAAAATTGAATATTCAATATTGGCTAACTCTCCATTATTTTCTTTTATCTGCTCTTAAAGGCAGTGAATTTCTGGGCTTTAAAAATCAACAACTTTTATTCAATTTGATAACATTAATGTTAATTTACTTGTAATCATTTGATTTTGGATTAAGGACATGAAACAACAAATATTAGAAATGAAAGAGTTTGCTGACTTAAGAAATGGAATGATATTTTGATATTATGACACCTGTTCATATCCATAGACTTGTCAAAATCATTGGCTCCAACCATCCAGGATCACCAAACCTGATTGGTTTTTCATGAGGGTGCCTTATCGGCATAAACACCAGTATGGTGAGGGGGCATACCCCTAGGGAGTGGAGACAATAAGGGGGTCAATTGAGAGGGGGACATTGTCCTTTCAAGGAAATAAGATGAGGACAATCAACAAGTTATATTCAAAGTTCATGTGATGATGTAGTTATTATATTGTCACTTTTACTCTTGTTTTAACAATTTTTGATAAGTCAGCATTTGAGTTATAGAACTGACATTTAGGGCTACTTAAAAAATTAAATTGCCAAAGATGGTATACATATCTTTATTGTAAGTATGTATTGTACTTAAGATGAAGTTGAGTTCTGGTCATGCGTTTGCATTGTGAAAGAAACGGTGTGGAATCGACCAGAAAAGGTTGATCATCTAGCATATAAGAATTTGTGTGTATTGCAAGGTTCTGGAATCATCAAAATGATAAGAAATTTGGCCCAGTCTTGGTTAGAGCCAGAAGGGCATTAATGCTATGGTAAAGCATATGAGCTATAATAACTCCCTTATGGTTCTCAATGGATGATGTGATCTCCAGTAGATGATAACATCATGTTGTGTAACTTACAAACTGTGTACTCAAATGTCATTTGCAATTCAGCACATGAACATGTCTCTTACCCCCTGTTCAAACTACAAAAATAAAAATGATATGCAAGAAGCGATTAATATTTCCAGTCTGAATGTCATAACAGGACTGATGCGTATGTTTGGGCATCATTTCAAATATATATATGTCATATAAAAACCTATAAATGGGCGGGGCTTATCATGAGTGTGCACTGATGATTGGCTGGTTGTCATATCAACAGACCTCTTCAAAACTAGTTCCTTGATTAGACTTTTTTTTATGAGATGCGATAATGTAGTATGTACAGATAGTCCCATTTTGCTATACAATCATTCTTTATGTGACGTTTCTTTTAAATAAGTTTTGTATGAATTTGGTAGAGTCTGAACAGACTATCAGAGAAATAGATTTCTTTCATCTTTCATCCTGACATCTGCCTGGAGTCTATGACTGATGATGCTCATGAATATGTTCATACATGTTGTTTCTTGGTGATTTTGCACTTGACTTGATACAGGGCCACATGCATGAGCAATAAACTCTTATCTCATCCACAGCTTGCTACAGACAAGGTCATGTATGAATTAACTAACCACTCTCACTCTTGCTTTCAAACTCTTTTTTTTTCTCTCTCTCTCTCTCTCTCTCTCTCTCTCTCTCTCTCTCTCTCTCTCTCTGTCTATCTCTCTGTCTTTCTCTGTCTCTCTCTCTCTCTCTCTCTCTCTGTCTTTCTCTCTCTCTATCTCTATCTCTGTCTCTCTCTTTATGTCTCTCGGTCTCTCTATCTCTGTTTCTGTCTCTGTCTCTCTCATTCTTTTAATCTTATTATACTGTAGTAGTATTATAGTGTACTTCTCATGTTTCTTTTATTTTCTTCTTTTGTAATCACTACATACGCTCCAAATGTCACAATTTAACAGGTACCAGGTGTACCTAGATAAACCCTCCCCACCCCCATTCCGCAACTCTTACAAAATATAGATGGGTTGGAACCTTGCCTATCAGCTTTATAAATATAGCCATTTCAGTTTCTGCACATTTGATATTGGGTTTACAAGCAATCTCTTCACCTATATCTCATGTCAGAAGATGTTGAGTGTTTCAGGAGGAGTTGAATAGACCGGGACCCTGATGAATGGATGCATCTATGAAGGAGGTTCAGCCCCCGATCTGACCAATATTAGGTCAAGAATTAGGCTTCTGTCTTAACCATTTAGTGCTGATCATTGCACTGAACTTGTCACTTCCTGCTCATAGTGCATGCCCTACAGATCAAGAAAAGCACAGTACATTGCAGTGTAGTTTACAGGCTTTTTGTAACTAGAAAACACACTTTATGAATTATTGCTTGTAGTTGTACACCATATATTTTTAGGTATCTGATTGGAATCTGTGTGCAAAAACTGCTATGTAGTTGTTTAGTAATTTAAGATACTGTATGCTATGCAAATCTGATACTTCTTGGGACATAAAGTGCAGTGTGAGTTCATATATCATTTAGAGGAGAAGTCTATCTTGTCTTACTGTCGTGCATGTGTAGTACTTGCAATGTCATTGACCCAAAGCATCTTCATGTGCTTGAAGAATGGACAATGTCTGATCCCGTGATGAATCTAGTTTAGACCATTTTGGATCCAAGGCATGTACCTGTACAGTTGACCATATTTTAGTACCCAATGAATTTACTTTGACCAAAGGCACCTAGCCCAGACCGTCTTTGACCAAAGCTAGCCTCGACCATCTTTGACCAAAAGCATCTGTCTTAGACAATCTCTGACCAAAGCTATTGTCTGAGAGTATATTTGACCAAGGGGATCATCTGTCCCTAATTATTTTTGACCACAGGCATCTATTCTAGGATATTTTTGACCCAATGCATCTGTCACAGACTATATTTGTCCAAAGGCATCCCGGTCAGAATACATGTATCTTTGACCAAAGGCATTTGCTCCAGACCATCTTTGAGCAAAGACATTTGTTTCAGAATCTAGACCATGTTTGACCAAAGGCATCTGTTCCAGACCATGACATTGCTGCAGTCAGTGTCAAGTTCAGAACAGTTTTCTATTAGAGCAAGATGGAAACTTCCTCTTCCGATGATTAATCTCTGGATTCAGCTCAATAAGGAGGAGATAGCTCCGTGGATCTAGACATCGGTCTAGCACCTCCTCAGGTTGTCTTAACTTCTTAGGAGGAAAGGATGTCATTAATTTTGGGTTTGGTAGTTTTCCACAGCCGTTGGGCTTTCATGGAAGAGATAACCTTTCTGGGTTCAAGAAACTGACACAACGAATACATGTACAGACTCTGTTTCAATGAAATAGTACATCAAAGAAAAGCAATTTATATTTATATTTCAAGAATGTACATGTAAACAAAGTTGTTAATGCATGTACAGTGTTGTACTTTTGTTTGTGTTTATAAGAAATCTACTTTCTTAAAGGGAAAGTCCACCCCCAAAATAAGTTTGTTTCGATAGAGGCAGAATAATAAGAAAATCAGGTGAGTGAAAGTTTGAGCAAATTCTGAATGAAAATAAGAAAGTTATGAATTATTGAAGTTGTGATCAATCAAATACAAATTGGCAACTCTGTGACTTATCATACGAGCTCTCCTTCATTTGCTTTGTGCATAATATTCCATAAAATCATGTTTTCTTCGTTATTGATGACGGAATATATATTTGTTTCTTGCAGGGGTAGTATAGAAACATATTTGCAATTATTATTTTAGATTTTTTTAGTACTGAGCAAATGGAAGTTGAGCTCGTATGATACGTCATAGAGTTGCCAATTTGTGTTTGATTGATCACAACTTCAAAAATCCTAACTTCCTTATTTTTAATCAGAATTTGCTCAAACTTTCACTGACTTGTTTCTCTCATTTTTCTACTCCTATTAAAACTAACTTAATTTCAGGGTGGACTTCCCCTTTAAGTATTGATCCACATGAGTATTTTCCAAAAGATTACATGTCAAAAATATGACATTAAAGTTATAAAGTATATTTTATGCTCCTATGCAAGGTTGAGGTAAATTTGTTTCTGCTTGCACACCATCAAGTCAAAAATAAAACAAGGATTTTTTTATTTTTTTTTTTGGGGGGGGGGATGGTAGAGTGTGGTAAGGTAGGGTAAAGAAGGGTGAAGAATAACATGTAGAATGTGAAACCAACGCTGCAGTTGATAATCACTCAATTAGATAGCTGTAATAGAATAAAGATTCAACGACTCCCAGAGCAAAGTGGCTTTTAGCGCAGTTTCCCCTTCTTTAATTTGTTTTCCCTTTTTTTGAAGAAATGTGACCTCTCGGTCAAGTACCTTTTCTAACTCTCAGATATTGATACAGTTTCAGACTTTCTATTGTAAAATAGTTATATAACATATAATACAATACAAAACAAAAGATGTAATACAATAGAATACAATATATGGACATTGTATTCTCTCTCTCTCTCTCTCTCTCCTCACGCAATGGTCATGTGCCTTGTCAGTCATATGCTGCTATGTAATGACTCCCATGATGTGATTACATAATACTTTAATGAGTTGTAGTCAATCTCATTACCCAGGTAATCAAATCTACCTCTACCTGGGAGGATGTACCAATTTCCGGCGCTCATCTTTTATAATTTGTCCATGATTGAGGCTGAACAGTGAAGCAAATGTGACGATGATGAATAAAGACAAATGAATGAAAGCTCCCCTCCCCCTCTTTCAAACTTTAATCTATTCTTTCCCCCTTCCTCAACCATCCACATTGGTGCCCCTTCCTATTACTGTTACAAAAGGATCGTATCACAATAATAATAATAATGATGGCTTCTATAGCGCACATGTCCGTCACGTTGTGCGCTCCTGGCGCTGCCCCGATTAGTACCCTGGCTTTAGCAAGGCAGCCACTGTGGCGCTCTAGCATTTCAAGGAATTAATTCCTGCCAGGTACCCATTTACATCACCTGGGTTGAGTGTGGCAAATGTAGATCAATGTCTTGCCAAAGGACAATGCATTTATTTTTTTAAATAAAAGTTATACATGTATATTTTGTCATTAATTCAAGGTAATACAAAGTTTTAGTATGGGGTCATGAATTTGGTTCAAATGAACATTTTGGAAGCACATGCAATTTTACAATATCCAGTGATCGTTGTCGCAGTTGAAATCAAGTCTAAAGTTATGAAATTGTAAATAATAAATTCTTTATGTTGTATAGCTCCCTCTCAAGACTGATATTATTTTGGCTTTAAAACAATGTTTCTTGACTACACTTTTTCATTGTCATGGTCGCAGCTACCATGGAATGGCCTAAGGCGCTATTTGAAATATTTGAAATTTACCGGGAGCACTGGTAAATTTTGATTATTCAAGTTCTTGAAAGGAGAAGCGTTTTAAGGGCCACATTTTCTAGTACTTATAATGCATCCACAAGGGTATCCAAATATATCAAAGTTTTAAAGAATTACTATCGTCTTTTTTCCAAATTTTTCAAAACGTTGCATTACCTTTAAATGTTAAATTTCTTTATTTGTACTGTTTTGTTACAGACCTACTGGAGTCAAATCAGGCATTGTTTCATCTCATCCTCTAGAGAAATCAGAGAAGAATGTAAGTATTTGTTTCATCATCAATCAATACCACACTGTTTCTTTCATTATACTTGGTACCAGAAACTTAATTTATGGAACATTCAGGAGTCATTAAAAACTGCTATTTTTTTTAGCATATAAGTTTTTGTGATTTTCAGAAAGTAGTGTTGTGAATCACATATTGTGGTACAAAAATTTTGAGAATTTTGAGAATTTGCCAAATTGTGGAAGTCTCTGGTTTCTGACAGTTTTTATTTTGTGTCTGTCAATGGTTCATTATCTGGCTGTCTCTTCTCTATTTGATGTAGTTTATGATAGTGATGCTACTTCAGATTTCTGAGCTGAAGATCATCAATATCTCAAATAAGCCCCCCCCCCCCTCTCTCTCTCTCTCTCTCTCTCTCTCTCTCTCTCTCTATCTCTCTCTCTCTCTCTCTCTCTCTGCGTGTATCTGTCAATAACTACCCTAGAGGAAGCACGTAATACCTCGAAAGTAGAGAAGTGAAAATGAGAAATATCTGGAAATCACACAGGAAAGTGTAATCAATTTTTGGAAAGGAAACCAGTCTGTTACCTATTCTAGCTGATTCATAGTAGGATTAAATTATGACACTTCCAAATGAAATAGGATTCATTTTAGACAACAGAGGGCAGTGTTTATATACAATGTACTCAAGGCAGATGAACTGGTCATCATGTTATGTTACTCTTCTAGATTACGTTGTTTAATTGATTCCCAAGGAAAATAGAAAAGAAAAGAAAAGAAAAAAAAAGTAAAAGAGGAAACTACTTGCAAGTTTTCTGATTACTTGATAGAAAAACACATTTTTACCTCTATCATGGCAAAAATAGAAGTTGATGAAAGGATGAAAGACATTTTCACAATATAACAACCTGACATAAGTTTGTGTATACTGTAAGTGAAAGTAGGGCTGTGCACAACAGTGTAATGAGGTACCCGAGTACACTCCCAGGCTCACAGGCGATTACTCGAATATTCGGACGCCATGTTTTTTTATAATTTTTTTGAATTTTTTTGAATTTTTTTGAATTTTTTGGATTTTTTTTGGATTTTTGGATTTTTGGATTTTTGGATTTTTTTTTTTTTTTTTTGCCACTACCATACCACTCGGCAGTTTCTTAGGTCCCTCGCTGAAAACGCATGCAACTTTACTTTGAGTTGCAGTTGAAGGCGCTGATTTAATAAGAATAATAACAGTAAACAATGCTGTTTTAAAAACCAAAGATGGCAGAATAATCCATTTTCCTCCAAGTCCAAACAGAAATCTGGACATTTGGTCCCAGTTTCTGAAAGGTGAGTTTGACAGTGCTTGAGTTGGGAAACATTTTTACCGACGGTACCATGCCAGCGGACGCCGCTCTCCCTGGCACGGGTAAGCGTGGGCCTGGACATTTTTTTTTTTTTTTTTTTTTTTTAAATTTTTTTTTTTTTTGCGGCCGAATATTCGGGTACAAGAAATCGTACCCGAGTAGTTGTCAACCGTGCGGGTACTCGAGCATTCGACTACCCGTCTTAGCCTTTTATAAGAAAATAACAATGGAATGTAGATAGGTCCCCAACAAAATGGTTTTTTTTGGGGGGGGGGGGGGGCATGGAAGTACTGTAGGTATTGAACGTTTGAAGAATTAAGATAATTGTAACAATAAAGCACATACTTGTACAAGAATTATGCTGATTGGACAGATCTTTGAATAGCTCTAAACTAAATGGTGAATTCATCATCTGTTGCTTAGGAAAGGGATTGTTCTATCTTGATTATCTTGATATCTTGACTTTTCTTGGTTTTGATGACGACATTAAGTGTAGTTTCGAAGCATTTGAATTGGTGCCAATTTATGATGTGTAAATAGGTTTAATAATTACTGTTTTTGAAAACAAAAGTTGGTTTGATGTTTTGTTTTACCTGACTGCTAAGAAAGCATGTGTATACTTTTAAGTAAGCAACAAGGAGACCAATAGGACTTGGTAATGGGGCTTTCACATATACACTCCGGGGCCCGTACGACGAGTAAAAACAGACATTTTGGGAATTTCCGGCCGGTGTCCGGCCGGCTGCCGTCAAGTTCCTACGGGCGCCGGGACAGTTTTCTAAGCCGTACGGGCCCCGTGGTGCTGAGTTGGCTGCTCCCAATTCTCCCGGCGTTTTTATCTGACCGTTAGCCCGTAGAAAGCCCGTAAAGGGCCCGTGGGGCACCTTACGGGTCCCGTACGGGCTCCGGACGGTGCCCGGACGGCCCCTCACGATGTTTTTCTTCAATTTTCATAACAAATATTAACGGGCGCCTTGCGGTGCTCAATTGTTCCGTACGTGTACCCTACGGCGCCCTCACGGGCCCCTTAAGAGCCCCGGGTGATATGCACAACACCAGGCGTCTGCCGTCCGGGGGGCATTTAAAATGAATATTGCCCGTGCGGGTCCCTCACGGCGGCATCTCGAAATGTACAACGCAGTTTTAAATACAGGCGGTGTGGATACCAGAGGACACATACAGAGTGAGTCAGAAAAAGTGTCCCACTTTTTAAAAGTCGTATTGTTTGAAGTATGAATATTTAATCATGAGTTTCATGATATATCTTGATAGAGTTATCCTCCCAGTACATTTAGGAACCATTTTCATTTGAATCTCTGCATGCATGACTGAACATCAGACAATCTTTACAAGACTGCCAGATCTCACTTATGCCAAGTTGCTAGGTGAGGAATAAAATAATGTTTTGAACAAAGACAGCAATTTTTTATAAATTATCTAATTAGCCAGACAGACAAAAACACAGAAACACACGCACACGCACACACACACGTTCTCACATCAGGGCCTTTGTGGGGCACCTGATTGTGGGGTATTTCTGTGCGTTCCAGATATACCTTGTGGTCCCCTACTAGTGGGGTATGTACAACCTGGCGATAACAACCCGGCGGTGTGCTTACGATGTTACCATAAAAAAGTGTGCAAGTTTTAGCACACGCTCACAAAAAGTCATTTATGGGGTACCACTTCTAATGCCCCGCAGGGCATAGGACACCGAATATACAGTCATTTGAAAGACTTTACTCTGTGGGGTCCTGAAAAAATACCCCACAAAGTAAAAATGCCTCACAAGGGGTATGTGAAGCGCACATAAAACCCCACAAGAATGCTGAGGTGAGAGCACACACACACACTCACACACAAACACACATACACACATATATATAAGCACATGCACAGGCACACGCCCACAAAATAATGAGCATTCCATTCCCGACAAGGCCCACCCAAACTGTTACTTTTTGTCGGGAATTCTTCTTATCGTACGAAAAGTTGAGTGGCCGCTGTCCTCTTGGTGCGTATTGGCGGATGTTGTGCTTGATGATGATGATAATGATAATGATGATGATGATGATGATGATGAAGATTAAGATGATGACAATGATGACATGATGGTGGTAGTGAATGTGTTCAAAAGGGAGAGATTTTTAGGGTTATATGCCACTTAAACATTCAGCAATCTTGATAAAAATCAATGCTCAATCAGAAAAGGGGTAATTATGAAACAATTGTCACCGTGTGTGTTGTGTGTGTGTGTGGGAGTGTGCACGTGTGTGTGGGTGTGTGTGTGCGTGTGCCAGTGTCTGACTGTGTTTGTTCAATGCACTGATTTATTCCTCACCCAGTAACTTGGCGCAAGTGAGATCTGGGAGTGTCTGATATTCAGTGATGCATGCAGGCATTCAAATGAAAATGGTACCTAAATGTACTGGGAGGATAACTCTATCAAGATATATCATGCAACCCATGATTAAATATTCATACTTCAAACAATACAACTTTTAAAAAGTGGGACATTTGTTCTGACTCACTTTGTAGTTCAGTGCACCGCACGGCACCCGGCTGGGCGCCTTGAGGATCCCGGCGGTGCCCCGGCAGGGCACCTTCCGGGAGCCATCGGTAAACCTGCTCATCGGACGGAGCCCGTAAGTTTACCGTAAGTGCACCCTGCCGGCACCCTGCCGGCACCCTTACGGGCGCCTTGCATTTCACTCGACCAATTTTCTCCGGGCACCTCCCGGGCGCCGCAGAATATGTGACCACACATGCCGTAGAAATGAAAATCGGACGGTTCCCGTACGGTCTCTAAATCCACGGCAAGCCGCCGGGTAGGGAAAATCGTACGGGGCCCGGTTTATATGTGACCTAGGCATTAGGAGGACTGATGCTTTACCAAAGAGCACTAGCGCATTGACTTGGTTTTGAACCTGGGACCTCCCGGCTACAAGAATACTGCTCTACCACTTAGCCATCGTGCCTCCTTCTATATATGTAGAAGACATGTGTACATTATTTTGTTGTAGTATTCCGAAGGTTATTTAAATTTGATTAAAGAGGCACTGTTGTCAGTTACCAGAGGCACTGACAGACATGTTACTTATTTTAGAATTTTAATTGCAGAGAATGTCTTCTGTATACCACACAAGTTGGCAACTTAACTTGAAGATATTAAGTTATATTTCAGGAATCATTCAAAGAAATACATCTCTTGCAAAATGGCTCTCTTTACATTGATTATTGAGCTGCTGTGTTTCTGAGGCACAAACTTGGCTTAGCACCAATGAAAGCAAACTGAGAAAAGATGTTCAGTAGAGATAGGAGTTTTATTTGGAAGTTTGTGGATATGTCGTTTTAAGGAGCACTGATTTTGTTTATTTAGGTAGGATATACATATAACTTCCTTTCCTATCTTTTCCATTTCTATTCTTCCCTGCTTTGTCTCATACAGTTACATTTCATGTTTATTAGTGTACATTCATCTAATCTTGATTATTAGCCAGGCTATTTTCTCCCTTCTGAGCACTATTTTGACAAATTGCGTAACTTGTTTGCCTCATCAGGCCTCCACCTAAATGAAATCATATAACATCCTTGAGCATGTCAAAGCCAATAAAACTGCCACAGTACTGGCGATTCATTGAACCATCTACAGTCCATCTACCAGTAGTCATGCAGGTATTTAGTGGAATTTGAACATTGAACCATTCTGGTAAAGGATGGCCTCATATCCAATATGTAGTCATGCATTTTCACTGCAAATAATGAGCACTGAGGTCTATAATAAGATAATTGTAGCAACTGTTGAAATTATACTTTGCCAGTGGGACCATAAACCTGTTGGACCTCTTTCCCTAACAAAAGGAAAATGTAACAGTCTTCATGAGTTTACATTTATATTCTACAACTACTTTTAAACCATCCTCAAATCTCATGGATTCTTAAAGGTTATGCCTACCCTTGCACTAAATACGTTAAACTGACTATTTGGAATTATTGACTATAAACAATATAATGTAAGTTATCCTGGAACCATAAATTTAATGCCAGTCATCATATATCCACCTGCTGTGTTGTATAATTACCCCTACAACCAAGTTGATTAACAGTCTAATAATTAAGCATCCTGAGCGTCATAAGTGTATGGAGAGTGAGTAATGCTCATTCCGTCTCCGATATACGCTGCATCCAACAATAGCAAGACATAACAGGGGTTAAACCACTTGCGTAAAAAGCAGAAGAAAGGAGTAAAGATAGGGGCTGAAATGACCCGGATATGGAGAGGACAAGCCCAAAATAATTTTAGCTCACATGACTTGAGTGATATCTTATGATGACTCAATCTAGAGAGGGAGAGGTACAGGGAGGGGTACAGGGGTCACTCAGAGGGACACATTCATGAGAGAGAAAGTGCATTGTGAAGTTCATATGCCCCACATGTTTGTCGGCTAACGCTCTGTAGCCTTCATGTTAATGGTTTTGGCAGTCATCACACCTTGTGGAATGGCCTATTTATTCTAATCAAAAAGAGACAAAGAGACACAGAAAGGGGGAGGAAGTAAAACAGGAGGGGAAAAAAGATATTACAATAGCAGATAAAATTAGAATCAATAGAAAATATCCCAAGGACAGGATGAGGCAAATAATAGCGAGAAGTGGAATGGGTGAAGGTTGAAAAGGCTACGGAAAGAAAAAGGTCATATAGCACTAACGGTGGAATGGAAAAGTCGTGATAAACAATGTTTAGTTGGCTATTCGGTAATCAGGAAGAAAAATATACAATCGAGACTTTGTTTAAATGAATATTATATGGCAAGGGGGTGTATGAATGTATAGGCCCACCTGTGAGATGAAAGTAATTTGCTTGCAGATTGAAACAAGTGAAAAGGAGTTGAAATAAATAGAGACAGGTTGGGTGTTTAGGCCTCCTGTAACAAAACAGTTGTATCTGAAAACTCTGACCTGCAGTATCATTCATAATCTTGTTGGCCCAAACTCTAACCATTTTGATTAAGAGATCCATATTTTTGTATACCAGGGGGTGTTTCACAAAGATCCCAAGTCAAACTTAAGTTGGACTTAAAATTATGGAGAGCCATATGTAGGCTGAAAATAGAATACATGTATAATCAAAAGTGAAAATTCAAGTATTTCAGACTTTTTATAAATTCCAAATTAAGAACATGAAATCTCCTTGATAATAGAACATATAAATGATTATGAATCAACATTTTATGCCTTTTAAAATAACTTTTACAAAATATTTTCATAGGTGCTAACGGCTTTCCATAATTATTAAGTCCAACTTAGAGTTAAGTTCAACTTAGGATTTTTGTAAAACACCCCCCAGGTGTACATCTCATCACCATAGTATATACTTAACTATGAATCATAACCTTAGTAAGGCTTAACAGGTATATTTATTGGAAAGCTTGCTAGAAATGTTTTTGCTTTAGCTCGTAATTATTGGGACTATTAAAACAATACATTGCATTGGGTTAAGGGGAAGGGCATAGTTCAGTTTTTCTTTTCCTTCTAATTTTCCATTCAGCCTTCTTCATTTCCCTGTATCCATACTTTCTAATGAACAAAAATAATGTATAACGATTATATTACTAATATTATGGGTATTACTTATTTACATCATTATATCATTTTGTGGCTTTCGTAATAGAACATCAGTTCGTGTAATTCACAAGTTGAAATTAAGTTGAAATTTCAAGTTGAAATTAAAATTTGTGTCTGTTACAATGTAAGCATGACATGCCATTGTAGCTCAATTTAGTCTATGACATAACTCCTCTTTGATTATGTTCAGTAAAACAGATTTGCAGAAACGGGAGCTGAATTTAGATTTAATGAGAAATTGCATTTTAGCAAAGCCCTTTTTGTTTGCTGTGAAGTATGGCTTGAGATAAATGGCCCTCTTTCCAAGTCTCCAATAGAGTATTGGTCTTCTGGATTTCATTGAATAGCTTTTCCGGTGTTTTATTTCAAGAGTTTGTGATAATTCTTTAAATATTTTTCCTGTGGCAGATAAAAATTGTTTGCATGTTTTTTCAATTAAATGTCACTGTCCCAGCTTTCACAGTTTCATTTCAGTAATTTTAGTGACATATTGCCTTTTCCTTGAAATACAATGCTATACAAGTATATTCATTTAGATCTAGTTACTAATGCCTTTTGTATGAAATCCTTCATCGATCATCATCACATGTCGTTAGATAGCAAAGACAAACTAAAAATGTAATGCCCTTCTGGCTTGGAACAGATCCCCCCCCCCTCCAGAATCCAAGTAATATATATAGAATAAAGAGTTTGGCAAATGGCGCTCCATAAGTCAAAGGAAACTTAGTCCATCTTTTATGAATACAAGCCATTGTAATCAACAAGATATTGCTTAAAATAAGCTTTCATGGAAAAACAACATGGCTCCAATTTGAGATTAAAGAGTAAATGCTCTGCTAAAGCCTTGACGTACACAAACAAACCTGTTTAATATTTTACTCTTCTATTGTGTTCTGTTTTAGATTGATGTTAACAGGAGCGTATGTTTATTAATCAATTTAGATGTGATGAAGATAACCAATGTATTTTCCCTTTGTTCATGTAATAGTTCTGGAAGAATCAGCAGGAACAGGAGTTTGCCAATTTGAGGAAGCTCCAGGGATTGCACGCACCTCTCCGGCTCATGATGGAGCGCAGTATAGTCACACAGGTTAGCTTCCATGTTAGGTCTATCTTTTCATGCAGAGCTTCTAGGAAAATATATTTCCAGAGTTCCCCCACAGTAAACATGAAAGACATTATTATTATGCGTTGATAAAATCTGATAATTTATAATGACCTTCACTTTGTAGGTGGAAAAACTAGGATGTTTTCAGTATTCTTTTTGCTCATATATTGTTATACTGTGAAACCTGAACTGGTATATAAAGACCACTCAAGGAAAACATGGAAAGTGGTCTTTATGTAGAGATTCCTTTAGTACATGTTTCAGTGAGAAACCATTTTCAAGGGTAACACAAAATGTGGTCTTCGTACATGTAGTTAGGTGGTCTTTCTATACAGGTGGTCGCTAAAGCAGGTTTGACTGTATATGTATATAGTCTCTTCTATACAAACTTTAATTGAAAAGGGGGAGAAAGGGGTTTATCTAGGGAATGTTTTATGTGTAAATAAATCTTCTGAGAAGAGGTTTGCATTACGAGCAATTTATAAATCAACTACCGGTATTCATTTACATATGAAATGATAAAATGAGAAGAGGAAGCAACAAAGGATTAGAATGGAAAATTAAAACATTAATAGTATTCCATTCTTTCAAATTGCTAGTATAACTATGATATAGCATCTGCATGCGCTACCGAAGGACATTATATAACATTTTTCCGGCTTAAACTGTGGCCATCGTAGTGAGAATTCAGAAATACCAGTAGAATCAGGATTAATATCAAGAACAAATTTATGCTAAATGTATTTTGATCCAATCTCCTTGTATACATCTTTGTATAGGAATGCATTTTAGATTATTATTGTTGCTGAATACATGCATTTATTAACTTGCATCTTTTTACTATTTTCTTGTGCCAGTCTGAGAGCCCTAGTGTATTCCCATCATCTAATGCCTTGGCAGATGCTCTATCAGGAAGAGATAGCATCATTGGATTCGAAGATATCCTCAATGGTAAAACAAAACTCTCTTTCTTTCTTCATTCTGTTTTATATGTACAGTGATGTTTTTTGTAATAAATATTTTATGTGTGTTTATGTACATGTTTGTTCTCTGTGTTTGTTTGTTTTGGAAGTATTTATATAAAGCAGGGGTTTTCATGGTTATTGTGCAATTACCATCTCTTTCTGAAAATTGGACTCTACTGTGCAATTACGAAAGAAATAGTTACTTTTGTATTTAATGAATATTTATTAGTGTATGTTTGTCTCGTCAATTAAGACATAGCTTGATGTCGTGAGGTGACTTGATATGTTGTGAAAGAGGGGCCAGGTAATTCAATTAGGGTGTGTTTTCACTGAACGAGAACAACACCCAAACTACAACGAATCTAATTTCCCTCACCAATCCATAACATCTCTACCTCTCCTTACCTGCACTGCAAGAAACATTGAAGAATAACAGGAGAATAGAACCATTGGAACCACTATCACTCTAGAAACAGAATCCATGTCCTCATGACTCTCTATTTGACACACTTGTTTATGAAAGATAAAGAATTATTAACGATGTAAGAAAGAAGTGGTGAAAATGGGTATTTCAACACACCTTTGCAGTTACCATAGAGTAGAATGAATATAAACAAATGAATAGAATAGTTTTGGTGCAATAATTGTTTTTGAAGTCCAGGGGCAGACCATTTTCATTTCATTTATCCTAATATGTTCCTAATCAGTGTTCCTATTCAGTGTTCCTTTTCACCCTGTTTTATAGTTTGTAGTTGAAATATAATCAAAACATTTGGTTTATTTAATCTGAATAGCTTCAGACTACTTTGCTTTAATGGAGTTTATGTTAACATGTAGGTGGCGTGTTAGTGTAATTACTTCATGTGGAGACAAATTGGTTATATCTATACCTACAGGGATAGATGATTTGTGATTGTGTCTCAATCAAAGCTACAGTTACTCTTTGATCACAATGCTAACAATTGATATCTAGTAAACATGGATAGCTATGGGGTTCCGGCATGTGCTGTGAATGGTTGAAATGTAACGGACCAAACCACCAATCCATGACTTAAGATCAGTGAGTGTTTGGCTTACCATACTAACCTGGCAGGAAGATGCTTATTTGACCCCTACCGAGTTGACCTTGATGGAGAGGGATGGACGCGAGCTGGAGACCATTTTGTCAATCAAGGAACATCCTAACTCACTCACAAATAAATCACTTGTCTTATTTTTACTGTTTCGTGGCATGGTTATGTTGTATTTTTGGACCATTGTCTTCTTCTAATCTTATTCTTCTTTTTGTTTTCTCTTCATTGCATGAGAACCAACCCCATAGCTATACATGTTTACTAGATATCTATTGTTAGCATGATCGAAGAGTAATTCTTTAGCTTTGATAAAAGCAATGATAGTAACTGAAATCTGGTTTCTACTAAAAAGCTTTCATTATCATAGGTTCATCTATTAACAAATCAAGATTGGTTGGGGATATGAGCAGTAGATTTTATTTTGCATACCATTCTAAAACACAGAGGATATAAAAACTTAGTATAGGTGTGCAAATGATGACTATATGAATTCTAGGACTCCCATTGGACTAGGACTCCCATTGGACTACTGCTTAAGATTATTAGAAGTGAGGAAATGTGGCTTAGAAAAGTAATGTGACTGTTCCTACTTGTATTTGTTAACTCATGGTCATTGTTACATAATAGAGGGCTAATTAGGAAGTGATTTATAATGTTGTTTGTTGACCACTATTCAGGGCTAGTACATGTGAATGAAAGATGGGATGTAGCAATGGAAGAGTAATTAAAGACAATTAACAGAGTGAGAGGAAGTGAGTGTAACAAATGAATATAGAAGCCAACAGGTAAAGATATTACTCTCTCTCTCACATGGTGCACCCGCAAGCTTAGTACTGTATAGATACAGATGTGGCATTAAAGTATATTGTAGGATTCTTTTGTAGTTTGCTGGGGGAATAAGATGAAAGAAAGTACATTATAATATGACAATGAACTGATGCTTCCCTGCATGAAGCTATGATAGAATGCATGAGACATAAGTGATTTGAAGGGATCCTCCCATCTTACCCCCGTCCTATGGGACATGTAGGGTAGATGTCACCCCTTTCGTCTTCCGATGTTGGCCGTGACATCACAGTTGATATGGAGGCTTGTTGCTGACATCGTGACGATGCTCTGGCTCACTTTCCCCTCCGGCTTCCTGTGGGTCAAGCGCTCTGTGACTGACACACTCTTGACCTCATCAGTCACAAGTAATTAGTTGGACTTTTAGTTATGAAATAATCAATTAATGAAGAAATAGAGAAACTTAACGAAAAAGAGAGGATTCAATGACATGTACCTGGCTCTGATGTGTGAAGGGAATTGCTAGCCCTGAAGACTGAGGGGAAAAAAAAAAAAAAAATGATGATAGATAAAATCATTAAACCTGATATAAAGAGCTACATGTACCCTGTAGGTGATGTAGGATATCAACAAAAGAAAAGAGACGAGGGAGAGATATAAAGCATTGAGGGAGAGATGCAAATAGAAATATAAAGAAAATGTAGCATGTGGGAAAACTTTTTTCCCTTGTTTAGGAAACTGCTCAAGACTTAAAGTCTCAGAGATCAAGCAAACTTTTATCAGCCATTCATGAGAAAGCCTTTTTAATTTACATGAATAGATGGTGAATTTTTTTTTTGATAGCACCGCAGATATGCATTTACACCCTGACAGAATATAATACATGATAATTATTTCTTTGTTACACAGTATCTGTGTGTCAGGTCTCAGTTTTTGTTTTCCCCTTCCCTACATTGTAATTGCATGCACAGGTCTAACCCTAGGCGGAGCATCGTCACATGCCAGTTACGATGACTTGGCCTAGTGCCTTGCTTCCTGTCTGCCACCTGAGTTTCCTGCTCGTTACAAGCAATGGGGGCGCTCTTTATGCTGTTTCCGACAGCAGCCCAAAGCACTGCTTAGTTTAGAGAGCTGTCTGTGGTCGAGTGCCAGAACGGACTTTAATTAAGAGCTTATGATCATAAGATGCATGTTACATAACAGTTGGGGCGTTTCAGTTAAAGGGCATATTCTATTTTTGTTTAAAAGAGGGAAAGGGGCTTCAGGAACTGAGTGGGTGTTATGGAAATGAAAGGGAAATACAGAGTTGGCCAAAAGAGAAAGGGAATGAAAGATTTAGATGCAGACAGACAGACAAGAAAGACAATCATAAGAACATTGCATGGTTTTTGCACCTCTTTTCTATTTGATATGTTTCAGTATTGTCCAGGAAATCTTTCCAACGGTGGATATATGTGATGCTCTGATCCATGAATGTATTTCCCTTACAAATGGGATTGGTTTATCTTCTTGATGCTGTTCTATCTGTTGAATTGAAAGAATTCAATTTGCGATGAGTAATTCCAGGTTCCGTTGCATCTTATGGTCATTGTTCTTCTATCAAACTCAATTAAGTGAATGCTAGTCAGGTCTGACAGGGATGTCTGCCTGAATGAGTAGAGACAGGTGTCCCGAGGAGACGACAGACTGCATCACTTGTCATTCTATGACACATTACACTCATCCCTGGGATTTATATACCTTAATATAATATCAACAAAACCACCAGACTCACTTCCATTAATTACTCTTTTAATATCCATGATGTAATGTTACATAAAAAATCCAGCTCCACTCCAGGCAGGGGTGAAGTTACCCCCTCCCCTGTCTATACGTGACATGGTGTTATATGAACGTCTAACTCCAGGGGGTATGATGTAGCTATTCCTGAGGTAGCTCTGTCGTCTCTCTGGCGCATACTTTCAATCTATCCTAAGAAGACTCTTCCACTCAATAAGTATGTCATCATTAATGTACTAGGCATGTTGAATATACCCTCATTGCATTCTTTCTTTGTTTGTTAGAGTGTTACAGTTTAAACTGTGATATGGTATACCACTTGAAAATTTAGAATTAATCCATTAAGCCAGTTACAGCATGATTTCTATTGGAAAATATTGAGTGTGTTTGTAAAATTTTAATAAGGAAATGAGTCTCCTAATATTTACATTTTAACAACAAGAATATCTACAAACACTGAAGTGCGTAGTGTAGGGCTTCTGTGTAACATTAATTTTCAGACACTTGCAATGTTTATCTTGTATCTTAGCTCGAAATGAAGTTAAGCCTGATATCTTGACGTTTCCCCTGTCTAGAAGTTGTATTCCAAGCGCTTCAAACTAAGATACTCCCCTTTCTTCTTTTAAAGTGTTAAGGTATGCAGGGTCATATTTCTGTGATGTCATATAACTTAGATCAGTAAATAAGTTGTCAACTCTTCTGAAACGCATCCGATCATGAATCTTGGCTGCTATTGGCAACCAGTAACACAAGGCCTGTCTTCACTATCTCGAGATTGCCAAATATCCAGCTATTTGAACTATCCCGATCGCAAACTATCCAGCTAATTTGCGTCTTCATCAGACCGAAGTAGCAATTAGAAGGATATTTGGTCAGGATTGTCATCCCAAGATATCTTTACTTGGGATAGTTTGCAAAATATTCCACTATTTGGCAAAATATCCAGCTATTTGTCCCGTGCGTCTTCACTAGACCGAAGATTCGCAATACGCGCTAACGCTGAGCAAAATATCTCGAGCTAATTTCTCAAGGTCGAGTTTCAAGTTTCGAGGTCGAATCTTGAGATAGTGAAGACGCGATTTGTTACTTCGGGATTATTTCCCGAATCAGAAATAGCAGGCTATTTGGCAATCTCGAGATGATGAAGACGCGCCTACATAGAATGCGGCGGTCTAGCTAGGAGTGTTGTGAGTGAGTCCGTGATATGACTGACTCCCACACCCGTTATCCTTGAGGCAGATCGATGTAGAGCAGAAAGACTGTTTCCTGACACGTATCGTCTGACTATAGAGGGCGTGATTCCTGTCTGACGGCTACATTCTTGTTCCTTCCTCGTCTCATTCCTGTA